GTTCTTTGTACCTGCTCCCGAAGATAATTCGCGCTAATCTATAAGACCTGTGATGTACGGAGGAAAGGAACCAACTTAAAAACAAAAATGAAAAGGTGACTTAATGACAGTTTTTAATTGCTCATATTATTTTCTGATGCAAAAGCTGTAAAGTTTTATATACTGTGCATTTCAGTAAGAGTATGCAATATTGACTTGTAAGGCAACAACCACTTTGTCAAAAAAACATAATATAACTTCACTTTTTCAAATAACTTGGCAAAATCAGTGAGAATATCAAGAAAAATAGAATATTACATTTATGATAAAAAGAATATAAACTAAATTCAACCAAAACTTTGAATAAATCTAATAATATTTTTTACGTTAAGTAGGATTATCCAAGAGTTCAATGATAACCTTGATGGAAAATTATAAGTTGCGTACCCCCTTTTTTTTTAAATATATCTATTGATGCACAGAATAATTCTTTTGTAAAGACTAATTTTTGGGGATACTTTAGTTTGTTTAACTATCTCTGCCTAAAAAATCAATACATATATATAGATATACACCAACCATCTGACTTACAACCTGCTCGGCATACGACATTCGACTTATGACCGTGTTTTGTATGCCAAATTTCTGGGAAATAAACAACTGTTCATGTTGTACACGGTGTTTATCCTAAAACTTACAGTATAAAATACAGTACTAACAGCATAAAAAGTAAAGTAAAAAATGAAATACCAAAATAAAACAATAAAATTAAGTCATTACAAAAATGCGATGTTGATATTCAGTAGAAAGGTTCGCTTACGTCCATTTCGACTTACAACCGGTTGGTCGAAACCAAACTCAGTCGTAAGTCGGATGGTACCTGTATGTATATATAGTATATATATAAAAATAAATAAATAAATATATATATATATAACAGAATTCTTCCTCTGTAAGCCATGCGTGTCGTAAGAAGTGACTAAAATGCCGGGAGCAAGGGGCTAGTAACCCCTTCTCCTGTATAAATTACTAAATTTAAAAAGAGAAACTTTTGTTTTTCTTTTTGGGCCACCCTGCCTCGGTGGCATAAGGCTGGTTTGTTAAAAAAAAAATATATATATATATACATATACATAAATTTTGCTCTAGCAATTACACAATCACATTACTGCAATTATTTTTAAGCATATGCTACTAATTAAAAATACTGTCTACATAGCAGCACAATAATTGTGTTTTGAGTTGCTGTTAAGCAGGTAAAGTTAGAACTAAACCCAAATAATTTGAGAGACATACTTGATTCCGTTTGACTTCTAGCTGAGAGCGTTCATACAGCTGAGCATTTCTGAGGCCAATTCCACAGAACTGCAAGTAGGATTCAAACACTTTTTCATCACTTGCTGTGAATACCTGGCCTTGGTGTTTATTGATCACCTGCAACATGAAAAATAAAGTTAATAGTGGATCAGGATAGATAGTCCTGCTGTCCATCCTTCCTCTCCATTAAATACACATTTATACTAGAGCTCAGTTGTTCATCTCTGTTTACCATTTGATCCTTGACTCTGTAACTACTCCTATTAGTTCCTTTTCCCCTTTTCCTTGTTACTTATTATAAACATACGAGGTTGCTTTCTTCCTTAGGTATATACCTTTGACATACCACTGATGAGTTTCGAGTTTTCCTAGTCTAATAGCCCAGGGTCAGGCTGGTTTGGTCAGCCAGACTGCTGCTTCTGGTATATTCACAGCCTGGTTTGATCCAGCTTCTATTCTTGTTCTGGCTGTGTTTGTCATATTTCCTGGTATTGGTGAATAGTTTGGGCCTGCAAATGTTGATACAATGTTCTCATATCTTTCACTCCATTAAGCTATAGTTGCGTGTAGATTTGGGACTAGTCCCTCGAATACATTCCACATACATATTTTCACGTATATACACAAATAACCTGCACATAGGAGAGAGGAGCTTATGACGTCGTTTTAGTCCTACTTGTACCATTTACAAGTGTGGCTTTGTAAATGATCCATCTCGGACCGAAATGTCGTTGTATGCTCCTCCCTACATGTAGGTTAATCGTGTATTGTTTTAGTCATGGTATTTGCCTTTTTGTTCTTTATTATCATGTATCTCTCTCTTCTCCATTCCAACGAGTACATATTTATAATTCTGTGGCATTCCCAGGAATTTAAATCCTTTACTGATTCCACATATGTCATAAATGACCACTGTATCTGTTCCATCTCTCCCACTCCTGCCCTGAACAGAGCTGTCAACATTGAACAATATGTGTCATATAAGGAAGAGAGAGCAAGGGATTTGAAAAATCACCATTGGCACCATTTTCCTTGTGTGAAAATTCTCATTAACATCCCATTCATTTTCATGACTTTCTTGATATTTTTCTTGTTTTCTTTGAAAGAAAGGTCCAAAAGCATTGCTATACTTATGTTCCTTACACGTTCCTTTCATTATAGAGTATTTAGTGATACTCTTGTGTTGTATATAGTACCACTATTGTGTTTTTCATTCTTTCCATATCTAAGCAATTGGAACATGTTACCATTGAAAGTCATGCTATTATCCACTGCCCACTGGAAGACTACCTGTATCTTCTAGCAATTTTTCATGCTTTCTAGCAAGGTGATTTTCATGCTTATTTTGATACCATCTGCAAATGAGGATACAAAACTATGGTGAGCATTTTCGTTTGTCTGCTATGTGAATAAAACAGTAAAGGTACCAGGAACATGCCCTGAAACAGTTAGCTATTTTACCTTGCTAATTCTTGATTTTGCTCTTTTACTAGTATTATTTATGTTCTATTTGTCAGAAAGCTGAAAAATTATTTGTCTACTCTCCCCATTCACACCATCACAGACAATTCTTGTGCAGTCATGCCCTGATCACATTTGTCAAGTGCCTTTGCTAAATCCATGTATGTATTTTGCTTTTCTTCCAATGCCTCCATAATTCTTCTGAGAGTAGTTTAGTAGTTATGACAAACATGATTTTGCCTCTTTAAATCCATACTGGTTTTGGATGTGATGTTCAGTCAAGTTTGTAATTTGGCATTTCATCACCCTTTCAAAGACTACTGAGATGTGTGATACTAGGGCAACTGATCTGTAATTTTTGGTTAGGGTTCTGTTGCCTCCAACTGTATCTGCAACAGAGTTTTGTCTGCACTATGTCTTCTGGGATTTCACTTAGATCTATGCATTTTTTTTAAATTATACGAATGCTCATGCTAATGGTATTTAGCACACATTTATAAATAAGGAATTCCACAAATCTGGTCCAGGTGCTGCATGAGTGAGTGTCTTATATATTTTTCGAACTCTGCAGGATTAGGGCTTAGGTTAGTTATGTGGTCTACCTTCAGAGGCAGTAAAAAAAAAAAAAATGTATTTTCCACCCAGCTCTCATTTAGTGGATTGCAGAACAATGATTCACATTTTTTTTTCTTTTGTATTTGGCTCTTTTTCATCATCAGTATATGATCTTCCCGGTATTAATGGTCCAGTTCTACAGTTCTGCATGTGTGTAAAAGTATTTAGGGGTTTCTAGAAAAACACTGGATGGCTTTTTCTCTTTGTGCTTTTTTTTTTGTCTAGTTAGAGAGCTTAAGTGTTCTTTGTATTTCTGTAGTCTCTCTGTTAAGATTACCTTTCTCTTGTTGTGAAATTCTCGTTTCTAAGCTGTCTGGTAACACTTTTTCTTTTGTACATTATTCTGCACTTTCTTTCAGTATACTATTATCATTTTGGATTTCTCAGTAACATATACTTAATGCAGACTTTATGTTTCTCTATTAAGCTTTTCCAAGCATTAGTGAGGGTTTAGGGTGCTCGTAACTGCTTCACCAGAGTTTGTCTCAAAGTTCTTTGTTAAATATTGTCCCAGTCAACTTTCTAACTGTTGAAGTTAAATTACCGAACATTCCTTTTTGTACACTATTGTTGGATTTTTCCATTCTTGAATTTATACTTGCTTGGTTGACCAGGGGGCTGTCAGCAGCATCAGCCTGGTTGACCAGGGGGCTGCCAGTAGCATCAGCCTGGTTGACCAGGGGGCTGCCAGCAGCATCAGCCTGGTTGACCAGGGGGCTGCCAGTAGCAGCAGCCTGGTTGACCAGGGGGCTGCCAGTAGCATCAGCCTAGTTGACCAGGCAAGCACAAGACAAACGTAACACAAGGCCTGGCTCTGGGAGAAGGAAACCTCTCGAAACTCATCAAAGGGATATCAAAGGTATAGGTGAGCACAGGCAGCACTTCTAGGGAGACTTGCTCATACATCTCACCCAGCCTGGGCACCAAAGATATATAGGCACGTTTCATTAAACAATGTAAGAACACTTACTACTACTACTGCTACAACTACTGCTACTACTGCTACTACTACTGCTACTACTACTGCTACTACTACTACTACTACTACTACTTCTCAGCATCAAATATCGTACGTGTTACATACTATGATGATTACAGCACTTTATTGTGCAATAGGTTAAAATTATTTGCAAATATTTGTTTAGCTCACATTCAGCATTGTGTGCCAGGCTTATTAGTAGTAACACAATGTAATATGTCACATAATGAAAATCAGTATAATGTTGTACATTAAAGTATTATTGGTGATAATACTTGAAGTGAGCCTCACAGTTTCTGTATATGTAAGGAATATAATACCAACAAGATGAAGAATTAGACATGAGCAACATCTGGGTATCTTTATCACAGATGTTTCGCTCTCCAGTGGCTTTATCAATAAAAATTCAAGGACTGTCTTTCAGTTATGTCCTTGAATTTGTAATGAAAAAGCCACTTGATGGCGAAGCCTCTACATTAAAGGTACCCATTTCCTCACACTCTGTACAATGTAAATATCACACATAAATTTTTTTGGGGTAAAAAAATGTTAAAGTTAATGTATTTAATGGACCTTACAAATTACAAATGAGTATATGAGAACTTACCTGAGCAACACCAATGACCTCTCCAGCACTGTCTTTGATGGGCATACAGAGCATTGAACGTGTCTTGTAGCCTGTTTTGCCATCAATATTGCGATTAAAGCGAGGATCCTGGAACATAAAACAGGATCTGTACTGAAGTCTGAAATTATAAGTGAAATTCACTGTGGAAAATACTGTATATATTTTCCAGAAATTCAGTATTTATATGTAAATAGATGGCCATACTGCATTTAATAATATTTATGTCATAGAAAACGGAAAGCCGCATCTGGCAGAAGGAACGGGGCATTTGGGGTTTTGAATGGATCAACGTAATAAAAGGGGAAAATTTTTCTTGCTCTGAGGGTTAAATTGGATGACACCTCTCAAATAGGGGGGCGAAATGGTGGATGTGCCCCTGATAACTTGAGATATCAGACGAGTGGACAGACCCCCAGGAACCTCAGAAAGCTCTCTAGTTTTTGTGTGAAATTTTGGGCCAATTATTTTCATATTTTTATTTAGAGTGGGTTTTCTGGTATATCACTTAAAAAAAAAAAGGCAAAAATCCCGTGACTGGAACGCCCCAAAAAATAACCCCACTAAAAGAAAAGTACGCGATGTTTGGGGGCCCGAGTTGGTCAATGTCCCAGTCGGGCCAAAAATCGCGTAAGCTTCATCTTTTATGTGCGGGTTTTTGTTTTTTGTACACATTAATCTATCAAAAATTGGCGAGTGTTTTAAAGATATATTTTTTTTTTCTTTTTATTAATTGTGTATATCATAATTATTTTTTTAATTTTTAATATACAGTCCACTTTTAGTTTTTAAACCAGTATTCCTGGTGATGTATTTTCTTTAATTAATAGGCCCCAAGCAATTGGGGGATATACAGTGTGGGTATCGGGGGGGGACATTTTTTGCGACCTTGCCCCAAAATTCCTACTTGTCTAATGTAGTGTACTGGCCCTGGGGGGAAAGCAGTTAGCAGGATAATACTGCACCACCTTTGGGGCCCTTAACAATAACAATGTTTGGTTTTTGGTGTCATGGCCCCAAAACCATGGCGTGGATTCTTCCCCCTCTATATAATTTATTAGTGATGCGATTACATGGGAGTTTAAATTTTTATTGGCCTTTTATTAAACTTTTCTTTTGAATATCAAGACTCACCACCCCGGGTAGAAGCCATTTTTAAATTGTATGTCATTATATTTTTTGTTGCAGAAGTACTATGAAGATTCTATGTTCAATAAAGCCTAGAGAGGGGCCCCTGGTTTTTTCCCAAAAACAATTTTTTGAACATAGAATCCTGGGCCCTGGTGGTGACCCTGCCTGACTAATCACAACTGGACGTTTACGAACCTAGGGCTAGACGTGACCCCGTTATCAACGTTGCTCAGGAAGGAAGCAGGGTTTTTTAAGATTTTTTCAAAAACTTCTTGGGAGCCCTTCCTAAAGAAGATCTAAAAAAAAAAAAGGTCGGCTCCAATTTTGTGTCCCTAAGAAATGAGGCTATTTCTGAGTGTAATACCTACGAAAGATAAAAAAACCCTAAATTTTTTCGAAAATTTTAAAACCTAAAAATGAATTTTGCACGCTACCCCTTTGCAACTCCCGCCGCAGATTGATGAATCTTAGGGTACTTTAAAAGCACTAAAAAATTTTAGTAAGGATTTCACTTCCAAGCTTGACAGCTGCTAATATTGTGAAGGTCCATAAGGGATGTTTTTATCAGTGGCCTGAAAATTCACCAATAATAAGGCACGTTTTTGGAGAATAAAACTCCCTTAGGCCCCCCCTTTGACCCGGCAAAGGCTCTAGATTCAGCCCAAAAAAATTTCTGAAGTTACAGTACCACTCATCCTTCCGAGGGGGTAAGTTTGCTGAATTCCCTACCGCCTTTTTAAATGAAGAGGAACCCCCCCCCACCCCCCCCCCCCCCCCCCCCGCCGGGAAAGGTTTTTCTTTTTTGGTTTTTCAAGACATCCACGTCCAAAGTGTCCTGCTCGTAAAGCAAGTCCCATAAAGCCAAAAGAAAGGTCACTTTGCTAAAAGTATGTGGCTAATGCATCAAAAAGGCATGCCTCCACACATTCCAGTGATCATGCGACCTACAACAGTGACTTCTGCGGCTACCCTTCACTGTAAAAGGCAGTTGTAAAAGTATTCATCAAAGGAAAGAATAGAGGGGTCTTTTTTGATAGGGGACTCAGAGAGTTTCACAACCCTTTTGACTTATTTAAAACCCCACTCCTTGCGTACCACTCATCGGGTACCGTTTCCATGGCATAAAACATCTCTCTCTTTTCAGACCTTGGGGTTTTGTAAGGTAAATCCAGAGTTAATGGAAAGGATTATAAAGATGACATTTACTTTTCTCCCACAAACTGTGCTCTGATGCTACCGGGTCGGGGACTTTCGAAGCTGCATGGAAGTGTCACCTTTAACTAGGGAGGTGAACTGCCTCCTCTTGTTGTTGGGGGACTTAGCATTTTAAAGGGGTAGACCCCCCAAAAGCTGTTTGAAAATTTTTCCCACGGATTCCATCCTATACAGCTAAGTACCCCCGCTATTTTATGAGGATCGGATGTTCATTGAGAAAAAAAAAAAACTCAGGGTGCTGAAGGGAGGGTATTATAAAACCGAGTATTCCCCTTGGCGTGAAAGGTTTTTTTTTGTTAAAGAGGTTATGGAAACGGGAAGGCATCGTTTTACCGAGACAATAAAAAATTTTACACTTCTTGATGGGTCCCTCACCTCAATGACGATCGTGAACAAAATTGCTCATCTATTTTTTTTTGCACTTTGATCACAGATTTGCCTACATCAATCCCTAAAAGGGAATAAAGATAAACCATACACAGCTTTTCAGGCTGGTGAGGCCCCTGTATCAGTTTCCCAGAGTCCCTTTTGGAGTCCCCAATGGGGTCCCCTGTTCCAACGAATTATGGTTTCATCGTTCGGGGAAGGAAACTCAGGGAACTTAGCGTATTAGATAATGTTACCATTTTTGGCAAGCCCCAGGGGGAACATGATGCAACCCTTGAAAATTTTTTGGAAGCCGCCAAGAAGAAAAATATCAGTTACAATGAAAAAGTGCACTTTTTCAACTAAAAGGCTTAGCATCCTTGGTATGAGTGGAAGGAGGTTTAATATTCCCAGACCCTGAAGACTACGACCCCTACGGGAACTTCCAAAGCCCAAACAAAAATCACTCCGAAAACTCTTGGTTTTTGTTTTTACTCACAATGGATCACAATATTCAAATAAATCCGCCCCCCCTTGAGTGCTACCACATTTCCTGTGACAAAGGAAGCAGAAGCCGCTTTCCAAACTCTCAAACAGGGAATTTTAAAACTCAGTAGTTCAAGCCATTGTATTCCCCACCATTCGAAAATGGAAACGGTGCATCTGACTTGCCATTGCTGCAGTCTTACTCAGGAAAGGGCGACCCTTACCCCCCCCTTTTTCGAGAATTTTTAAGGATCAGAAAATGTTACCTGCTGAGAAAAGGAAGCCCAGGGCCCTCATAGAAGCAGTTCGCCCTGGATGCATTATTTAACTGGGGTAGACATTTCACCATAAGGGCTGACCAAAGGCCTGTGTATATGTTCGACAAAAAGCACAAAAAATAGGATAAAGAATGACAAATTTACGCTGGGGGATGGAACATCGTGTTTATGACTTTGATATTTTGTACCGACCAGGTCAAAGGGAAAATTCACCTGATGCTTTCTAGGCCCATGTGGGCACATGTATGTTTTTCAATCACTCCAGTGCTCCACAAGGGTTTTTTGTCACCCAGGGGTTCCGCCCTGTACCATTTTGTCAAATCAAAAAACATGCCCTATCAGTGGAAGAGTGTACAAGTGATCAGAGCATCAGTAAAGTGCAGAGTGCAAGCCAAACTTTCCACAGCCCGAGAAGACCATCTCTAAAATCCACCCAGCCTTTCGAAAGATTAATTAGATTTCAAAGGACCTCTACCAAGCAAAATCAGAATGGTATTTCCTTACGTAGTAGAGAAAATTAAGGTTTTCCCCTTTTTATTCCCCCGTGCAAATATGGCTGTTCAACTGTTTTTATTTTTCTTTCACATTTTTTTTTTCTATTTTTTGGGTTTCCAGCTTATATCCCTTCAACAGGGGATCCTCGTTCGGTCGAACTTCGGATTTTTTGGGTAGCAAAGGTATTTCCTGCGCAGAAAAAAACAAGCTACAAACCCCCAAGGGAAAAGGGCATGGGGCGGTTCAATGGTCTAAATTTTGGAAGGCAGTTACAATACATTTAAGTCGCACAATCTACCTGTTCAACTGGCAAACTGTCCTACCGATGCTCTTACTCTTTAGATCATTTCTGTGCAAGCACAACAACCCCTCATGAAAGACTCCTCAACTATCCGCGTTCCTCTACGGGAGCCTCTGTGCCCCCCTTGGTTATGTCATCCGGACCCTTCTCCTGAAGAGTCACCGTAGGATAACAAGACGGATCCTTTAGTGGAAGGTAGAGTCCTGCAACTAACCCATTCGCCCCCAAACGCTACCAAATGGGGGAAGAGACACAGTTTACAAAAAATTAGCCCCGTTGAAAACCCCTTAGTGGGAATCTCAAAATACCCAATAGATTGAAAGACTTCGTTTTCTCCTGGAAAGCCCCTTGAGATACCCCTATGGAAATAGAGGATTCGCTCCAGCAGTTAATCAAACCCCGCGAAAAAAATCGAATGGTGAAGAGGCTCAAGGGCTACGAAGGGGCGGGCGTGTACGTCGCCCACCCAAAAAGTTTGGGAATTACTGTCTTGATATTTTTTAGAAGGGGGAGATTGTATGAAAAACTGGTCCCGTGGGGAGCATAGAGGATAATACGCACCACCTCTTTTGGGCCCCTTTCAATAACAACAGTTTGGTGGTGTATGGGGGCCAAACCCTGGTGTTGATTCTCTCCTCCCTATATTAATTAGTGATGCAGATTAAGGTGGTTAAAATATGTGGCCTGTGTTATAACTTTTTTTCTTGACATATGCAAGACATCACCCCTCCCGTGAACCATTATTAGATGTAAGTCTTATATTTTTTTTGTTTTCAGAAGTACTAGAGATTCATGTTCAAAAAAAGCCTAAGTAAGGC